CCGCAAGAAGATGGCAGTTGAGTTGTTCAAGCATGCCTTGCGGAAGCAGTAATTGGGATATGAAAGTGATGAAAACAGGGTTCCAAATGCCCCAAAACTGAACTTTATGACGCCAACAGATGCCATTGAGTGCGACTTGGATGATTATATGGATTAACTTGTTGGTTTTCATATTCGTGTTTTATTTCTAGTTTTGGTACAGATTATATTGGTTTTTAATTTTAATTAGTAAACAAGTTTCAAGTTATTTTGCATTTTTTTACATGTAATTCTCGTTCATAACTTGTCTGGTTATGACAAGTTATTGACCTAATTCAGAGTTTTTGTCCACAACTTGTACGGTTATACACCATAAGTTGACTGTTTATGGTCCATTATTAAAATTTTTTTCATAACTCGTCCAGATATGTATCATAATTTGACGGGTTATGGTGCAAATTTGACATGTTTTTACATAACTTGTCGAGTTATGCAGCATAACTTGTCTGGTTATGCAGCATAACTTGTCAAATTTGACATGTTTTTATATAACTTGTCTGGTTATGCAGTATAACTTGTCCAGTTATGCAGCATAACTTGTCAAATTTGACATGTTTTTATATAAATTTTTTCATAATTCAGTATAACTTGTCCAGTTATGCAGCATAACTTGTCAAATTTGACATGTTTTTATATAAATTTTTTCATAACTCATCCGGATATGTATCGTAATTTGACGGGTTATGGTGCAAATTTGACATGTTTTTACATAATTTGTCCGGTTATGCAGCATAACTTGTCTAGTTATGCATCATAACTTGTCTGGTTATGCAGCATAACTTGTCCACAGCTTAGCATAACTTGTCAATTTTGACATGTTTTTGTATAGATTTTTTTATAACTCATCCGGATATGTATCATAATTTGACGGGTTATGGTGCAAATTAGACATGTTTTTACATAAATTGTCCAGTTATGCAGCATAACTTGACATGTGATTAGCATAACTTGAAGATAACCTGAACAAGTCAAAAGATTATGATCATAATTCGATCATCATTACCTGACCATAACTTGATAGTGCAGCTGCACTTGTAATTTTCAGATTCAACAGCATGAAATTGATAAATCCTGGGTTTACATTCTTTTTGATTCAAGGAACAATCTCAAACATAATCTAAAAGTCTTGTCAATGAATATTAACATTCAAAAGATTTTAAGAATTAGTGTAAATCTTAAGTCATCATTTAAAATATAATACTAGTCTTTAGTAACAGTAGTCATATCATCTAAAAGGTTGTATTATAATATCATCCCATTTTTACGAGTCTGGGTCGTTAGAACTTTGGGTGAAGAGGATGAATGAAGGAATGCCAAGCTCTTCCATTTTTTCCCTCTGTTCCTTTGCACTTTTTCTTTTGTTCCTCTTCATTGATTTTTCGTCTTCCTCATTTTCTGTTTCTTCATAATCTTGTTCCTGCAATAATAAGTTTTTGATTAGTATTAATGTGGGTTTTTTTTTTTTTTTCCTTTTTCCCAAGTAGTATTAAGAAGATTCATACCTTTTTGATTCCTTGAGTAGCAGCTTTTCTCATTGCTATTATCTTTTCAGCTTCTTCAAATGTTCTGTCCAATGTTTGTTGATTGATATCAAACGAGTCTGTGAGTGGAGTATAACTGAATTCTCCCTCATGTTCTCCTAGCTCTGCAGATAATTCTTTTTCTCTGTCTTCCTATTCATTGAGGTACAAATTAGTATATCATTAAGGAAACATTGCAAAAACAAAATCAACATTATTTTGCGTTGTTTCATTACCTCAAATTCTGTGAGTGGATTGTTTTGTATTTCTTTAAGAAACATAAACACATCTTCTTGAATGGTTCTCATAATGTCCACAGAATTCACTCACAACCATTTCCTTTATTTCTTTCATATCATTTTTCATGTTGGTAACCGAATCGAATTCGGATGCGGAAGCGTGGTGGGAGGGCGGATCAAGCATAACAAAAATTTTCATAAAACTTTGGAGATACTCTATAGATTATATTAATTTATGCACGAATAAATTAATTACATTAATTTATATATTAAGAACTCAATTAGGAAAAATACCTGGAGGCCGACTCGGATGATAACTTGAGTTCTTTGACCACGAACGATCCTTGCTCCAAAGCCTTGTGTTTAGAAAACCAAAGTCTTCCACGTTACTTCCTTGAATCTACGTAGATGTGTGTGTGGGCACACTCGAGACTAAAACGGGTTAAATCAAACACTCGAATTTTCCACAAACACCAACGCATGCACGATGTGAAATTTTTTGGAGAACAATTTTCCTTCTCTCTATAATGTGATTTTCGGCCAGCCACCAAAAATTAGGTTGAAAAATTGTCACGCGTAATTTTTCATCATATCTTATTTATAGAGTAGAAGTCCAACTTCTAGAATGAATCAAATCTCTCTCTCCTATTTGAATTTTGAACAAAAATTCTCCTCTACCCTTATCCCTTGTGGCCGGCCATGCAAGGGTTTTTTACCCTGTGTGTGGCGCCAATCTCAGATAGAGAAGGAAGAGAAAATCATCCTTTATCCTGTAGTCTAATTTTAATTCAAATTTAAGTCAAACTTAAATTAATTTGAATTCTAAAGTGAACAACTTATCAAATAAGTTTAAAAGGATAAATTTAAATTATGTCCATGATTCAAATTCAAATTTAAATAATCACATTATTTAAATGATAATTAATTCTTAATTAATTATTTTTTGAGTATTTAATTTTAGAATTTCATAATTCTAAAATTCCATTTTGTCCTTTGTGTCTGGTAGAATTACAAGGACGA